TTTTTGCCGTTTTTTTTTTTTTTTTCTTTCTTTCTTTTCCCTTAGTGCATCAGTTGGGTGCAAAGCTGGCACAAGCCTCTCCTCCAGCCCCTCCGCTCCCACGGAGCCCAGCGCATCCCCACGGGACTGCCCTCTCCCAGGGCAGCCCAGCGTTTCCCCCACACCGATTACCCCAAGCGAACCACTTGCAGCTCCACGTGAAACCTGGGAACTACCCAGGTTATGTCCACTAAGCACAGCATCAGTGGGGAGCAAATATAGAGGAATAGTAAGTAATGACGTCCTGGCAGATCGTGTTGTCAGGACCTAATAAGACACAACGCGGGGTTGTACTTAGCTCTCACCCGACTGCATTAAGCAGGCGAATGTTTTACAGTCTGACCATGAGATCGGAGCAAACTGGAGGGGACCTGTCGGCAAAGAGCCCCCAGTTGCTGGCAGGAGCGGTGGCCGCAGTGCGACACCAGTCCCCGGGCAGCATCTCGAGAGCAGGGCTTGCATCAGTCGCGATCTGCCTGCATAGGGAAGTTCTCACGTTTAAACAACAGAGAGCAGCTTTATTGTTTTATTTTGCAAACCAAAACCAGCCGGGAGTTTCTGAAGTGTCTGCCATCCCCGCAGAGAGCTGTTTAGTCATGCCTGGTGTGTATGCATGTGAGACAGAGTGTAGGGGAGGGAGTCTCTAGGACTTTGCAAAGATTAAAGATTTATGCTGACCCTTGAATCTGATCCAAGGCTACTAATCTGTCCTGATCCTATCGTCTGCTCAGGGTGGATCTATTTCACTTTCCTTTATGGTACTCCTGACTCACTCCACTCCCACTCCGGGCCAGACCAGTGGGAATGGGAAGCACTACCACATATTTGTTTGGGTTTGCATTTAAAGCTCTGGACCTGTAGTGGGTGCAGCTCATAAAGGAAACCAGTGTGGATAAGATATGGGTGAGCTGAATGCTTGGAAACCACTCCCAAACACAAGCTAAAGTGGTTTGAAATCAAGGTGGAGTGATGTACGGAAGGCACAATACTTGGCAGCTACGCCCAACGTGTGAGAAACGCGTTTAAATCCAAGGTGGTAAGGTAGGCAGGTCATCCAACCTGCTTCCGAGGGAGACAGCTCGTTGCCTTGCGGGGTCTGTAATGCCAGGTGTAACCTCTCCAGCAGAGAACTGGGTATCGACCCCCTCCATCTGCCCGCCCACCCTTTCCGACTCTGCACTTTGCACCCCTGTGAGACCTTTGTGGGCCTGTGGGAAGCTGTGCCGGGGGTACTGCTCATGCCCCGGCACCGCTCTGCCTGGGAAATGGCTTGCTTGCGCTCCATCACCCCATACTGAAACCCTCCTGATGGCTGCTGAGGATTTTGTACGAAAAACGAAGTGTAGAAGATTTTGTCGAGGGCAGAATAAATCTCCTCTGCCCTTGCAAAAAAAGGTGTGGCAGAAAGAGCAGAGTAGGAGCTTTCCACCGCCCCCCCCGGCTCTCCTCTGCCTCAGCCACACGTGTCAGACTTGGTCTGGAGGAAGGCTGGGGATGCCAGAGCAGCTCGGCCTGCGGGCCAGCCGGGCTGGGGATGGATAACACCCACCTGGGCACCGCCGGTGGTACCGGAGCCACGGGCAGACATGCAAACAATATCAGTCACAGGGACCTGGCCCGTGGCTGAACTGACCAGGAGATGAAGAGTGCGGCGTATCCTATTTCAGATCCCCTGGGACATCCTGTTCTCCTGATAACTGATGATATGTAAATATAGCAAATGCAAAGCGAGGCACTTTCCTACCATGCCTTGCTCAGGCTGCATATAGAAAGGGGCTGAAACCTAGCAGCGCAGTTGGAAACACCCGTCTGCAACTGTGAAATAGGCATCATGCTTTATTTTTAGTTCAAAATGAAGTTCCTGTTTGTAAGGCCAGAAGGGTTACAAGAAAAAAAATGATGAAGCGGGATCGTTTACTGCTACTTTTCTTTTCACGTGTCCTTCCTTCCTTCTTCCCTCCTGAGAAATAGGATGTAGCACATCGCTATTCCAGGCTGCAATATTCACTCAAGGGAACGCTGGTTTCTGCTCCCTCCAAAGAGGCCCATTACGCCTTGTGTAACAAAAGACACCAGTCTCCCAACCACGCCAATTACCCTTGATTTCTAGTTGCTACATGAAGGCGCTTATCTCATGTAAATGAAACGCCGTCTTCACACTGACTCGCACTTCCTTTCTCTTTCATCAGAGTTTTGGGCTGCCCCTGCCAGGCGGGGGTGAAGGGCAGGTCAGGCAGCGGGACTGGGGATCCCTCCCCGTCTGATCAGCCGAATCCCCCTCCTCCCCGGGGCAGCTGATCAGACCCAGCAGCGGCGGGGTGGACCGAAAGATTTGGTCAGGTCAGCCAAACGAGCCTTTTTAACTATCAAAGCCGAGCACTAATTAGTCTGGTGTCTAATTCCTTGACCCAGCACCCCGGCCGTGTATTTCTCCTTCAGGCGGGGGTCACCCAGACGCCGTGGAAGGAGAGCTGCAGGGATGCGTCCTGGCAGGCGCCCAGGCGTTTTTCTCCTTCCCGTGCCCCAGAAGGGAAAGGTAATTGCGAGCTGACAGGAGGGAAACCGCGAGCTGCTGATGGGAATTCCCAGCTGAGGGGTTTCAAGAGCGGTAGGAGCTTTGGCGTATGGATTAGGTTGCTTATATATACTATAGTGTGAAGGAAACAGGCAGTTTTGCTAATTCCCTTGCACTTTAGTTTAATAAAGCAGGATTTGTCTGGTGGGAAAGTGTAACGGCGGGATTTAAGCTGTGCGAGTCTCATGACTGGTGCTCGCCTAGCGGGGTGGGAAGAAGGGATGCATCGCTGGCATTCTGTCTCTTCTGTGCTCCTGTGGTTTTAAATGTGATTTCTGAGTGCCCACAGCTTCGGATGAGCTTTATTTGGGATTAAGTTTATTAAAAAAAAAATCCGTATGCAGACACCCGCACTGAATTCTGCAGCCCAGTTTTTTTCAGAAACCGGAGCGCCCTATGTATGGGGAGAAGCAAGACCACTTGGTTTGTTAAGTGCCCTATGTCAAGACTCACATAAACTGAAAAAGGATAAAAAGGGGGATGGACAGTACACAGAAGGAGAAGGGGCAAATTAATATCTGTTACAGCCTCAGTAGGGAAATGAGATCCTTCTGCCTCTGGTTTTAATGAGAAAGGCCCCAGTGGAAATTTTAAATCTGGATCTGCATCAAATCCTCAAAGTTCAGGGAGTTTAGAACGAGGAGTTCGGTCCAGTCCATCATGCATCAGAGCTATCTGCAAAATTCACATCCTAACATTTTTTTCCAGCAATGAATTCTGCCAAAGATGAGTGCTTGGATGTGAGGTATTTTTCTTCTTTTTCATCCCTTTTGCTAATTTAATTCCCAGATCCAAATCAAATTTTTCCATCTCAGACTGCCACAAGCTGGGATGCATTGTTTGCAGTTATGAAGCTGTTCCGGCTTTGTTATGCCCTGTATTGCACGCTGAGATGTCGGAGGTGTTTACCTGCCTGCAATAGCAACGACCGAGTGAAGGGGAGGCCTGAAGGTTAGGCACTGGGTTGGTTTATTGCCAAATGGAGTCAAAGCTTTCTGATGTGATAGCGAGCAAATGATTACATTGCTCCTGCACTTCGTTTCCTCATTATTAAAAGAGGATAAAACCCAACAAATTACTGGGATATGCACAAATATGCCATTGACGAGGGACCTGAGCAACCGGGCAGATTTTCTGAGGAGCCTTGAAGCAGCGAGGCACAGAAGCCACATGCTGGGCTCTCCCTTATTTTTATTCTTTCTTGTTTTCTTGGTTGTAGAATAAGAGCTAATCAGAGTGATGCTCTCCAGCAGGCTTTTGTGTATGGCATTACAGTAAAATCCTAAATTCCCTTTCCTGCTCATGCATATAAAGCAGGAAGAACGAGGATGGCTGCAGACTATTTCTATTTTCAGATGATTTAGCCAAGGAGAAAATAACTGGATGGCTGGAAGAAGGAGCATTTGATAGGAAATAACCTTGGAGCACAGCTGTCTGACATGACAGCATGCGAGGTGCCCAGCTTCCCGAGACGACCGTGCTCCGTGAAATGCCAACAGGGAACGTAACTTCCAGAGGAGATGACAAAGGACAATAAAGACAACCAGAGCATGCAGAATCCAATGCAAGAGAGA